TCAATAAATAAAGCTAATCAATAAAGATGTTGCTCGTTAGCCATTACGAAATAATTAAATAAAGTGTGCTAATTAAGGAACTGAAAGTTTGTTACTATTGCAATGGTCAATTGGACATGGTTGAATATTGAATCACCAAGATTAAGAAGAGGAGACAAGAGGAATAGACTGATGAAACAAGTTTAGAGACATAAAAAATATCTAACTGCAAGAACAGCACAAAACTTATCATTATTTGCTGTTCAAAAATTTCAATAAATGTGTTCGTACACTATTTACATTATTTGGACTATTGTCCTCATCTTTGTCGCCATATTTATTACAATGTTTCGGCTGTTGTACACTCTGGCCTTCATCAGTACTTGTCTATATTTCTGAGATAAGGTATTATGTATACTATTTACATTATTCAGACTACTGTCATGATTGCTGCCATATTTATTACGTTTCGACTGTTGTACGTTCCGGCCTTCTTCAGTATCTGTCTATATTTCTGAGATGAGGTATTATGTACACTATTTATATTATTTGGACTATTATCCTCATCTTAGTCACCATATTTATTACAACATTTCGGCTGTTGTACGCTTTGGCCTTCTTCAGTATCTGTCTATATTTCTGAGATGAAGTATTATGTACACTATTTACATTATTCGGACTATTGTCCTCATCTCTGTTGCCATATTTATTACAATGTTTTGACCATTGTATGTTCCAGCCTTCTTCAGGTGGTTGGATTGTCAAACTGAACCCTTTATTTCGCTCACATGGCACAGTGGATAAAGGTGTTAGTACCAGTGACAGGACCCAAAGAGTGTGAGTTCAATACCCGTTTAAGGCAGTGGAGAACTTGGAGAGGGGAATTAACAGGAGATAACTGACAACTGACATCCATTAAACATGGCATGTGAACTAGAACAGTCTACCCCAGTGAGCAAAATAAAGGGTTCAGTTCAACATTCCAACCACCTGAAGAAGGTTGGAGCATACAACGGCTGAAACGTAATAATTATGATGACAAATTTGAAGACAATAGTCCAAATAATGTAAATAGTGTACATAATACCACATCTCAGAAATATAGACAAATGTGTTTATTTTATAAGAAGATAATCAACACATGCTAGGAGAGAGAATTAATGAAAACTTTGTTTTGACGAAGCAAAATGTCTAAAGCAAGACAAATTCTTGATATTAAATTCCACAGCTGCATCTATTTCAACAGCAACAACAAAAAAAAAATGGGTAGCACATCTAACTAGAAGGGAAAATAATGATATCAAGATATTGACTTTCCACACTACATTACACAAAAGGTTTGACAGAAAACCCCTGTCAATATTAGAAAGAGCGATTGCATTGAAAAGTCTAATTCCCCAAAAAACCCATCCTGTGTATTATGTTAAAAGTACATCAGTGTCTTGGTTAAGATGATAAGCTACATCCAAGAGCAAGGCATCTGTTCAGGAGGTTTTGAGGAGTATGGAACCATCTCTTAATTGCTGGTGTTCCCATGTCCACCCTGACCCAGCATGGTAGCATCTGTTAGGGTCCCTGCTGTGGGCAAATAGTTAACCCCTAAAATGGAGTCAAAATACTATGAAAGTGTAAAAATAGGTTTTAATACCAGAAATACTTTTATAAAAAAATTTTTGAAGAAAATTACCAACAATAAAAAAAAAAAAAAAATATTTGAAGAAAACATTTTTTGAAAAATATTACCATTGATACAATTCATTTAAAAAAAAAAAAAAAAAAAAATTTACCAGCTATACAAAAAAAAATAAAAAAAAAAATATTACCATTGATACATTTCTTAAGAAAAAATATTTCCAGCAATATATTTAAAAAAAAAAAAAAAATATTACCAGCTATACATTTAAAAAAAAAAAATATTACCAGCCATACATTTTTAAAAAAATATTACCATTGATACATTTCTGAAGAAAAAATATTTCCAGCAATATATTTAAAAAAAGAAAAATATTACCAGCAATATATTTAAAAAAAGAAAAATATTACCAGCAATACATTTTTGAAAAAAATATTACCATTGATACATTTCTGAAGAAAAAATATTACTAGCAATAGATTTTTAGAAAAAAAAAAAATATCACCAGCAATAAAAAAATTAAGTCATAAACCAAACCAAGCCAAAAAGACTGTCTTAAACCAATTTTCTAAATCACACCAAACTAATGTTAACTACTCAGTCAATGAATGTCAAATGGTTCCTGAATTGAAATGACCAATTTCAACATTCAGTCTTGGCTATTTCTCAAATTTGGGGGGCTTTTCTACAGTTCCCCAATATAAAAAAATGAATAAATAAGGTAAAAATAACTACATGCAAACAAAATCTTCTGGACAGCTCCCGCTAAACATTTCTCAGATTCAGTCAATATGCCATATTAAACATCAAAAGGAAAAGAAGTGTATAAATGCACAAAAAATAGAAAGGGGTGTAAGACAAGGATGAGTCTTCTCACCAGACTTATTCAGCTTTTACACTGAAGCAATTCTGAGAGGATTAGAAGATTACCAGGATTCATTATTGACAGCCACAATCTTAATAATATAAGATATGCAGATGACACAGTGTTAATAAAAGACACAAAAATGAAACTACAGAAGGTAGCAAAGGACAAAACATCAAGCGTTAAAAGATGAAAACTACAAGCTCTATTTGAAAATCAGTCTAATGAGCCACATAACAAAATGTCTCATCCAAATTCTGGCAAATAGAGTGTGTAGGAACATTAGACAGGAAATAAAGTAAGAGCAGTACAGTTTTGTTAAAGACACTAGAACAACGAAAGCGATATTTATACTCAGAATATCAGAAAGGGTAATATAAAGGCAAAAGGATGCATGCCTATGTTTTATAGATTTTGCAAAAGTGTTTGATAAAGTTCAACACAAAGAACTATTTGAACTGCTAGGAAAGCTTGATTTATTTTAGAAAGATAGAATAATTCAGATCTTATATTGGGAGAAAACCACCTGCAGATGGGTAGAAAATGAATTGTACACTATTTAGATTATTCGGGCAGATACTGAAAATGAATCAAATAAATATACAAAAATAGAAAGAGGCATAAGACAAGGATATGTCTTCTCACCAGACTTATTCAACTTTTACAGTGAAGCAATCCTGTGAGAATTATAAGTACTTCCAGGATTCAGTATTGGTGGCCACAGTCTTAACAGCATTAGATATGCAGATGACTCAGTATTGATAGCAGACATAGTAATTAAACCGCAGGAACTCCTACAGAAGGTAGTAAAAAAAAAAAAACAAGAAGGAAAGACTAAACATAAATAGTAAGAAAACAGAATGGGAAGTATGTGAAAAACATAACATGAGTTGATCTGTGTGAAATTGAGGACACAAAACTGTTTACAAGCAACTGATGGTTTTGATACCATGAAGTCAGAAGTCATCGTGACTGAGGGTTTAGAGCTCACAGGACTTGTTCAAATACTGATCATGCCAGATTATGTTCTTTCTCCCAGAAACTGTAACAAATGTCTGTAGGTGTTGAAGAAACACAAATGTTCCTGTGCAGGCATCTGCAAGAGGGATTAGCTAGCCATCTTAGCAGATGGATACACTGAGAAACAAGTCCCCAGCCATTAGTAATAATAATAATCATAATATTGATCAAGACTGTTCTGATAAAAAGCAACAATGTGATGGAATAAAATAACAGTAACAGAAATAAAATGATAAAATGAATTCAGTAAATACACAAAAATAGAAAAGGGTGTAAGACAAGGATGTATCTTCTCACCAGATTTATTCAACCTTTATGGTGTGGACATCCTGAATGAATTATAAGTCCTTTTCAAGATTAATTATTGGTAGCCACAATCTTAACATTAGGTATGTAAATAACACAGTGTTGATAGCAAACATAAGAGTTAAACTGCAAGAACACCTATAGGAGGTAGTAAGAGAAAGCAAGAAGAAAGGACTAAACATCAATTGTGACAAGTCAGGATGTATGGTTGTCAGCAAAAGGAACAGCTCAACATGTCAACTGTGATGTGGAGACCACAAAATCAAGCATGTACAAAAATTTAAATATCTTAGAAGTGTTTTAACAGAGGATGGAAAATGCAACATCAGAATCCAAAGGTGCATTGTGGTGGCAAAACATGCCTTCCCAAAAGCTAAGCAAAGTATTAAGAAACGGGAAAACTTTGTTAGAAAAAAAGAGTACTGAACTGCTATGTAATATTGGTCTTCCTATAAGACAGTGAATGCTGAACAATCTCAACACAAATGAAGAAGAGACTTCAGGCAACAGAAATTTGGTCCTACAGAAGGATACTGAGAATACTATGGACTGCACATGTGAGCAATGCCAAAGTTTTAGAGGATATGGAAACAAAAAGGATACTAATACTGACAATCAGAAAGTGGGATCTGAAATTTTTCTGGCTCATAATGAGGAAAGAGGGCTTGGAAAATCTAACACTTACAGGACACATTGAAGGCCAGAGGACCAAAGGAAAGCAGCACATAACCTACCGAACAAGTTTGTGTAAATGGTTAACAGGACAAGTTCTAAGAGAGAGGGCAAAATTATAAACTTACTTACTAACAATTACAAAGGAGAGAAAGTTGTGGATAGCCATCATCGGCACATAGAAAGAAAAGGTTAAGATTGTGTAATAAAACAATAGTCTACATTGTTTTTGCTCTCCTGCCATTTTTCTTTCCAAAATGTTGCTTTGTTAATAAAGCACCAGCTTTGAAGCCTCAAGGTGTCAAAAGTTTGGAAATTATCACGGTAAACTTGGTTTTCATTCATTTTGAGAGTAAAAGCAAATTCTATAGATGCAAAAGATGGTAAAAAGAAAACAAAACTGCTAAGTGCATATAAGATTTTTCTCATCATTGACTGTAAAGAGTTTGGGCAATAGCTGATGATTGGACAGAAAATGACTCCATCATGTCAGTTAATTGATTTCTTGGAGATTAAGAGGCACACAGAGTAGGAGAAGAAGGGAAAGAAAGAATAGTGAACACACAAAGAAGAGAAAATTGGGGGAAAAAAAGAACAAAAGAGAGACAAAGGACAAGAAATAAAGAGAAGGAGAGATAGCGAACAGAAGCAGGAGAAAAGAACCAAGGGATAACATATAAAAGGGTAAAATGTGGAGGGTTAATTGAAAAGAAAAGGAAAAATAAAAAAAAAAGAGAAAAGCTGATATACAAGAAAGGAGAAAGAGAAGAAAAGAATGGAGAGGGAATAGGGAGAAATGAGAAGAAAAGAGTGAGGATGAAAGAGAAAAAAGAGGAGGAGGACGAGAAAAAGAATGAGAATGAAGAAGAAGAAAAGAAAGAGAAAGAAGAAAAGAATGAGGAGGAGGAGAAAAAGAATGCAGATGAAGAAGAAGAAAAGAATGAGAACAATGAAGAAGAAAAGAGTGAGAATGAAGGAGAAGAAAAGAATGAGAATGGAAATGAAAAGAATGAAGATGAAAGAGGAGAAAAGAATGAGAATGATGAAGGAGTAGAAAAGAGAAGGATAATAAAAAAAAGTGAAAGAACGAAAGAGAAGAAAAGAAGATAAACAGAAAAATAAAAAGAAAAAAGAAAAGCAAAAAGAAGAAAGAATAAAAAGGAAGGAAGGCAGTAACATAAGAGAAAGAAAAGAAAATAGGGAAGAAAAGATAAAAGAAAGAGAGACAAAAAAGAGAAAAAGAGAAAGAGACAAAAAAGAGAAAAAGAGAAAGAGAGACAAAAAAAAGAGAAAGAGAGACAAAAAAGAGAGAAAGAGAGACAAAAAAGAGAGAAAGAGAGACAAAAAAGAGAGAAAGAGAGAAAAAAGAGAGAAAGAGAGAGACAAAAAAGAGAAAGAGAGAGACAAAAAAGAGAAAGAGAGAGACAAAAAAGAGAGAGACAAAAAAGAGAAAGAGAGAGACAAAAAAGAGAAAGAGAGAGACAAAAAAGAGAAAAAGAGAGACAAAAAAGAGAAAAAGAGAGACAAAAAAGAGAAAAAGAGAGACAAAAAAGAGAAAAAAGAAAGAGAGACAAAAAGAGAAAAAAGAAAGAAAGAGAAAAAAGAAAGAGAGACAAAAAGAGAAAAAAAGAGAGACAAAAAGAGAAAAAAAGAAAGAGAGACAAAAAGAGAAAAAAGAAAGAGAGACAAAAAGAGAAAAAAAGAAAGACAAAAAAGAGAAAAAAAGAAAGACAAAAAAGAGAAAAAAAGAAAGAGAGACAAAAAGAGAAAAAAGAAAGAGAGACAAAAAAGAGAAAAAAAGAAAGAGAGACAAAAAAGAGAAAAAAAAGAAAGAGAGACAAAAAAGAGAAAAAAAAGAAAGAGAGACAAAAAAAGAGAAAAGAACATTATAATAAATGAACAGGACAAAAAATAAAGAATAGAGGGACAACTCTTTGAAGCCATGGATAAGGAAAGTGAATGTAAAAAATCTTTGTCACAGCAATTAATTAAAAACAACACAAGAAATAAACCATAAAAAGCAACAATGGACAATCAGCTCAACTCATTTCTTGAGTGTTTTCTTGTATCTGCAAGAATTATGGCTCCCCTATTTCCTGGTGCTATCAAACAAACATTTTGTGGGAGCTATTGTCAACTTGAGTGTGCAATGTTTCTCACACACCTGCTACACCTAGCAAATCATAATGGACATTGCAATGACTCAGACAGGAATCTTACCAGTAATGAGTCAACAGGATAATGACGTCTTTCAATACAATACAAATAGCAAATGTGTTTAACATGCAAATGGAAGCCTTATGGAAAAGAAAGCTTTGTGAAGGACAAGTCCAACACAAAAGTTCTGAATCTCCAAGGTTATCTGATATTTGTTTTCGGCATCTGACAACAAAAGGGTAAATTCATTATATATATATATATATATATATATATATATATAAATAAAATGAATTTGCCCTTAACTGTCATTCACAATATTAAAATATTACTATTGGTAACTTTTCATTTTTATATTTGTTTATTAATATGATATTCAGTTTATATGAAATCCCTAATTTATTTGTGTAGAAGTTAAATATTTAAATTACTATCAAGCATTGAATCTAATTTATTTGTGGAGTATTTTAACATTTAAATTATTATCAAAACGTTAAAATCTGTGTTTTTCTAAATTGCCCAAACTTCAAGATATACCACCCCTCTCCTTCCTTGAAAACCCTATGTCCATCTCTTATTTCTTATCTCTTTACTTCCCCCACATTTTTTCCCATATAATTTCCCGTAAGTTGATCGATTAAATAGGTCAATGTCTGATTGTCACCCCCTCCTCCTCAATACTAAGTATCGTAATAAAAATAAATTTTAAAACTCTCCCTTCCCTCTCTAATTTCAACCATGTCTCTCACACTATTCCTCACCACCCGCTATGTCACCTTATATGAGTTTAATACTGCCCTTCAAAAGTGTAAAATTTAAATTCATTTTTTCACTCTTGAAAGTGAAGTCTGAAGATCCAGAGAAAAATAAAATCTCTGCTGAAATAAATTATTACAATGGAACCTTAAGGTGGTCTGTTTTTTCTTTAAATTAAATATAAGTGAACATATTTGTCAACACTTAGAGGCGACATTCTGTTTCATGCTAGATGCAATCATCAGGCCTAATGATTGCATCTAGCATGAAACAGACTGTCACCTCTAAGTGTTGACAAATAATGCACTTTTATATTTACACACACTATCTCTGATATTGAGCACTTTATTCCATAAATATAGCATCTTATCTTAAGATTATATTATATATATATATATATATATATATATATATATTCAAGCTTGTTTAGTTGAATAATCTGGACATATGTCTATTTCATTTTATTTTAACCCTCTCAAATTCCAGGATCAACTCCTTAATGTTGATATTCATTTATAAAAGCACTGGAGTTTTTTTTAATTTCTTTTATCAATCTTATCCAAGGTCATCTTCAGGGGTAAATTGCTAAGACAAAAAATTAATGTAATTGATAGATGGGAACTTTTTTGTAAATGTCTATGAAATGCACTCTGTTATAATTATAAACACATGAACTTATGCCATTATAATTAATTTAAAAATTAACTGTTAAAGCTATTATGTCTTTTTTTTTTTTAAATATTTTATCTAAGGGAGGTAACTTTAATTTATATAATTGTAATTTTTTAAAATTTTATAACATAGCACTTATTCAAGAAATACTTATAAATATCTTAACAGAATATTTTGTATACTAGAATTTTTTTTGCAACACATTGAAAATCCTCACATTATTTAGTATTGTTGATGGTATTGCTAACATTTTTGTCAAGATTTACAACCTTTATGTTTCATTCAATTTTGAAAATCAATCGATGAAATTTGAATAAGCTGATTTGTTTGGAAAAATACTTAGACAAAAACCCTATTTCACTTTTAATAATTTTTTTAATTTAATTTTATGGGTTTTCATGGTAAATAATATTTTTTTAAGAAAATTTATTTTTTTTATTTTTTATCAGTGAAAATCAATTCTAAGGATTTCTTACTCTTGAGCATGCAACATACAATTGGCCATGTTTAAATATTTCTCTCTGGAGCCAAATTCCAACTTTTTGAAGCATTTAGCCTTGTGATTTGTTTATAGTTCTTGCAAACACAGGGCAAACTGAAAACTCGATTTTTGTATTGTTATAGTGGAACACACCTATTCTATAGTTAATAGACTCTCCCACCTATAATAAGTAGGAATAGTAAGAGTAACAAGTCAGTTGGTCAGTGAGTCAGTCAGTCAGTCAGTCGATCTCGGATGACAGTCGAATACTAAAGTATCAGCGACCACAACTAGATTACTCTGCGTTATACCTATCATATCAAGTTCCTAACGTTTTGTACATCGAACCTATTTTAGGACCGACTTAGTACAAATACAAGCCTCCACTATGAAATTACTCCACAACATGTATATAAAAACTTAAAGAAAAGACATGCAAAAAACAATATTGCATTTTTATTAAATAAGTATTTGTTCTTTTAACCATTAAATTGTTTTTAAAATAGTGAGAGTATTTTGTATGTTAAATGATAAAACTTTTAATTTTTCCAAAAGATTTAATGAAAATTGATTGGCCTAAGGTAAGCACCCTAGTAAAAGCAACGGGGCTTTTTATCCCCTTCCCTGTTTGCACTTGTCCCCAAAATCTGGTTTTGATTGGTCAATGTATGGCTATTTTTAGAGGATGTGACAGACAGACAGACTAATGGAAAGCACAGAATTTTATATATAGATAAATGTATAAATAAATGAGTCCAAGATTTTGAGAACAAGACTGATCTACAGACATAAAGAAAAACACAATGTCACTCAACACTTTGGTAGTGAAGCCAAATTAATATTCCTGAATTTAAATATGAATACAAAATCACATCTCATTTCATTCTTCTCAACAAAGAAAATGATGTCTTTGTTGCCTTTAAACGGGAAATTATTTTCAGATGAACTTCTTTGCTTATCCTTCTCACAAGTGAATTTTAAGAGCAAATCAATAGAAGTGCCTTGTTCCAGAAAATATTGGACATTTGATCAAAGGTTGGAATCCTTGATCTGTCAAAGTCCAGTAGAAAGAGTGGCTAATCTCATTATGCTCAATTCCCTTCACACCTGACATAAAAATTAATCTTGCAGAGTAACAAAAACGCAAGAGGAATTAGCCTGTCAGTAGCTGCAGTTAACAATTGCAGCCACCAATGATTGAAAAAGAAAAAGTTGAAATTACTTTTCAAGGCAGACAAAAGAAAGAAAGAAAACAAAAGCAGTTTAATATTGCACCAAATATAAAGAATTTGTATGTCAGTTTTAATACAGTTTTCTCTTTCTCTCACGATATATATATAAAATTATTTTTTATTAAAACTTACATACAAATTCTTTATCTTATATTATAGGTATAAAAATAAAAAATAATTATATATATATAAAAATATTTTTATTTAAACTTACATACAAATTCTCTATATTATATTATAGGTATGAAAATAAAAAAAACAGACCAGAACCTATTATATATATATATATATATATATATATATTTAAAAAATATTTTATACCTATACTATAAATCTATAAAACAGATGATACAATTTGTAAATAAAAAAATATTACAC